AACAACCAAATCTCCTTTCCTCTGTAACGTCAGATCTAACAAACAAGTATCATACCTTGATAAAATTCTGTGGGGCGGGGCACGTGTGGAGGAGGGCTTGACAGGTCTGATGGGTCGTTCCGTATTTGGTAACTAAGTTTCTCATGGGTGCGAGGACTTTTTCATACTCGTACTCTCTTGCTTAGGCTGCGGTACTCAAGACGTACTCGTACAAGTACTGTAAATACTAGTACTGCTAACTAGCTCGTTGGGGGGGGGGGGCTTACATGATTTCTGGTTTGGATAATCTTATTGTACAGTACAGTACAGTGCGGTTACCGAGGCAATGACCGAATCGCGGCATACAAGGCATCAATCAGCGTGTGAATCAACGACGAGCCGCTGTTTCGGAGATTATCGTACAAGTAGAGATACCGTACCGTAGATGAGAGAAAGAAGAAACGATTGTTTGGATCTAATAATCCCAATAAAGGAGGGAACGAGTTCAAAATTTCAATCGTGATAACTTACGCACAATCCAGTCCGAACTGTTAATAGGTTATCCTTCTCCTCCACCCCCCCCCCCATTTATATATGATACATTACGTGACGTGCGGCTGCTACGAAACCGTTTTTTTTTGACACTTCTTGGCGTTTTCGGTAATCTTACCAATGGGATGTTGTCCGATTCCGATTCGGGGAATTGGGGTTTATTTTTATTTTTATTTTTATTTTTTTTGGCATTTTTCTTCCCGCTGCACTTTGTTTACCGGTTACTTGTTATTCCACTTATGGTTGTTATGGCTTATAAATAATATATTATGTTACTTGGGATATTTTTGCCCTGTGATTGTAAATACGGTACGGTAGCTTTCTCGTTTCTGGTTGGGGTCTATGGATTTTTTTATAGTCCTCTGGATTCCGACAGGAGACAAGGAAGAGCACAGTCAGTCAGTCGGTCGCTTTTATCTTATCTTTGCTTTATGGCTACTATTGCTGGATCCCGAAATATGGTAGGTAACACAGGATCTTGCACAGTGATGGTAAGTGGGCACCGGTATGGAGATGAAGTACCAAAACACGGATCAGATGTTGTATAGTATGGCAGATCATGTGAGCACCGATACTAAATTCGGACCCAAATGCCCCCGGTACTTCATGCCAGATACCCGCACAGCGGTACAGTGGCTTGCTGGCTACACGGAGAAATTTTTCCATCGCGGTACAATCGTTGCAGTACTTGTATCCGAATCGAGAATTTGCCTGTACTGGCTGACGCAATATATGTACGATGTGGTAAGTGAAGGGGGTGCATGTGTGAATCAGCACAAAACCGATTAGCTGGTGGTACCTCTCCGAAGGGCGGACGGACGGACGGACGGACACACAGATATATACAGATAAACAGACGGCAAGGGTCACACCTACCGGCCGAACTGCAATCGTTCCCATGCGTTCCCGGACTACAACTTTCGAGCACCTGCAGTCGACAGGCAGGAGGATATTATATTAGACACATATTAGCCCGACAGGAGCCCAGCACAGGCCAGGGCGGTCCACAGGCAACGGAGTGGAGCGCCGTTGTGTGTGTGTGTGTGTGTGTATGATAAGCTTTCTTTTTCCTCCTAAAAATACTTCAGAGGGTTGTCTGTATATTAGTTCCTATACATTTAGTGCAGCTGTGGGAGAATGTGATCATTTGAAATCAACGTCATAAAGATCTGAAATAGATCCGGATTAATATAGACGATCGATGGAATGGCCCTTGCTCCTGGAAATCTGACCAGCTCGGACTCTAACGGATAAAACGTACGCTGCTAACTTGGTGACATAATAAAGCGGAGATATGGCGCAGAATCCATCGATAAGCTCTGCTGCTGATCAAGACATATACAACATGGGAAAGAAGTGGGTAAATGAAAACAGGAACGAGAAAAACAAAAACCTCCCACCGCCCGCATAGCGAAGAACATCATGACTGCAGGATATCAGAAAAATTCTTAAAAATAAAAAGGTGAAAAATAAATAAAAAGAGAACATCCCTGTGTGTCAACAACAGAGTGAACTCCCATTCCTCGCATCTCGTGATATGAAAAACAAAAAAACAAAAAAACTGGACACAGCCCCTCACCGCAATTGCACGCTCCGATATGCACCCTGTATAAAATAGTCAAGTATGAGGATATTGAGATAATAGAGTGAGATAAACTAGAAATTGTTCCAAGCAGAAGAGGACAAACATCAGTAGTAACACAGAACAGCTAGAAAACCGATAATCCAACATTCGAAACCGCTTTTGATCTTGAGCAAAAAAACAGCGAGAAAACAAGAGAAAGGTGATTACAAGATGTATAGGACCCCCAACACACGAGAAAGGCTGTCTCCCATCGTATGCTGGGGTTTTATATCATGATTCTAAAAGGGAGAAGTTTGTTCCAAGCTCCATGAGTTCTCCAAAGTGCTTAATATCCGAAGGAAAACTTCCCGAAGCTCTTCGAACCAAGTTCTTCTCCATCACTGACCGTGGCCCATGCTTCCCATGCTTTGCGGGAGCTTCTGGTCCGGTTCTACGCGGCCAGTGTTTGTGATGCTGGGTAATCTGCGTCGACGGGCATTTATAAACCAGTTGCTCACCTAAGCTTTCTGTTAGAAGGTGTGATCTTCGTGTTCAAAGGATCCGTCGAACCTACTTGATTGATGTTTAAGCCCGTCTGCTGCATCAGCATCTGCTTCTCATCCTCCGTAGGGTAAGGGTGATGCAGGTGGTCGTTAAGCCACCCTCGGAGCAGATCGGTGACATGTTTGGGCAGGTTCCCCCGTCGCCTCTTGCCTGGGCGTCCGTGATCAAAGTGGTCAATTGCCATGTCGATTGGATGGTTTCCAGTCGAGAACGGCGATCTGCTGTCCACCATCATCGGTTGCCCTGTCCCGAAATTTGTACCCCCATCTATCCGCTGCGGTTGGTTGTGTGATGAATGATAATAATGAGGCGAGGGATAAGGGTGCCCTGGTGACGGAGCACGGTAAGAAGAGGGGGCCACTGTTGGAGTCGAGGGGCCCCCAGTATATCGTGGATGTTGATCCTGAGGTGACGGTTGGTACCGCATTTCAGTGTCAATAGGTGAGTTACTATAACTGCCCCGCTGTGATGGTTGGGCATGGCCTTGAGAATGCGTAAATAATGAAGGTAGCGTTACAGGAGCCTGTGACCGCTCCGAAAGTTCTCTCTCGAACGAGGAACCTCGAGAGGATGCTAACGATCTTACAGGTGGGAGGTAGGGGCTCTGTCTACTTTCAGCCCCAAATGACGATGGTGCAGACGATGATATAGAGCTTATTCGTCTTTGATCCAAAATTGAAGGTGGTAGGGCATAGCTTGGTGTATCATAACGATTTTCTGAGTCGCTCGACGTCGTAACTGCCCGACCACCTGTCAGATGTACATTTGGAACAGGACAAGCCGGAGCAGCACTAGCCCTTCGCCATTGAGGTGATGAGAAAACGGGCATACTTGTGGAGGTCTCGGAAATGGCACTCGATGGGCTTTGTGATATACGCCGAGTTGATCGAGATGAGGGTGAATCTCGATCAGCTATCCTGCGGGGCATTGAACCCAAGGGACCAGAGGAGTGCATCTCGCCTGGAAGATGAGAGTAAAATTCAGGTATAGCCTTACACTACAAGTCAGTCGTCAAGCATCAAAACAATCAGGGCCAACATCACTGCACCTGATGTAACGGTGGGAGGGACTGGTCAGCCCCAGAAAGTGTTGGCAACGACGTAGATGGTGCCATAGTCATAGTGGTAGCCATTGCTCTTTTGCGCCCACGATCGTGTGGAGAAATGTCCATGCAGCCAACGGAGAGCCGAAACGCCAAAGTCTTAAATATATATAAAAAATACCGTCCAAGTTGTGAATAATCCGGCAGGTTCTTTTACCTGCTATATTTGTGTTGTTTATTTGTTCTTCTTTCTATCAAGCAAAATAGAGTTAGTGGAAAAATTCGGTGTCATGTCAAGTGCGCTTTAACGCGGAAAATATGGTAGCGATTCCCTTGTTGTAAGGGAGATAACATTAACGATAGGTATCGGCCACATGACCGCAAAGCGACTCTAAACCCCCATCCTTGGGCGATTGCAGCCAGAGTGAAAACTAAACTCCTAAGACCAAGAAATGAAGAATATCGACTTCTTGCTGCTGAAAAAAAAAAAAAAAAAAATGGGGCTCCCTTCAGGGAGGATGAAAAAAGTCACCTATGCCGGACCGGAGGCGGGGCATAGTGAAACCAAACATTCACAATGGCGAAACAATCTCAGGCAAGGGTTCAAAGATACAATAGATCTCTCTAAAGAAAGGAAATTTTTTTTTTTTTTTTGTGGATAGTTGAAGGGGGAGCAATGGAGGCTGGGAACCATGAGGAAAATAGAAGGTATTATGGAGGGGAAGAGATAAAAGAAAAAATGGCTGACACCCACCAAGACGAACTGGCTGAGAAGTTGAATTATAGTATAGGGCAGTGGCTTTTATAGCGAAGACGCAACAAAGAAAAAAAGAACGACGTAATTGGAAACGGGAGAAAGGGGGAGATGGGGAGAGAGCCGCTTATAGAAGATTTAGGTTGAACGAAAATTGGTCGCAATAGTCAGCATACCTTACGGAGATTTGTTGACTCCGATCTTTGTCTGGTGGGAGACCGGGCTTTGAAGGTTGTTCACTATTTAAAATAAGAGGTGTTCGTCAGAAAAGAGGTGGGGGATTCCGAGAACCCGCGATACCGACGTTCCCGCAAATCTGCCAGGAGGCGGGGGTACAGGTACTGTGTCCCAACAGTCTGAATCTGACTAGGGGCAGGCTAAGAAGCGCTCCAGGTACGGTGGCGACAGCGACAAGCTCGAGGTCAAGTACTGTACCGTACTCCGTACCTGAAAGACGAGGTATGAAGGAAAGGATGGAAAAAGGATAAAAAGAGAAAAAAGCACCAACGAATTGCGATGTCAAGATCACACTCGGGCCACCCCACACCACACTCTAGACACACAAGCTCACACACACAAAGGGTTGCCCGGTTCGTGAAGGGCAGAGGTAGAAGGCAGATTCGGAAGCAAAGAATCAGCGGCCAGAAGCAGCCAGCAAGAGGAGTATGTAGTAGTAGTAGGGATAACAGCAGTAAGAAAAGTAGTAGTAGCAAGGTAGTAAGCCCGCCGCTCGCAGCAGCAACAGGAGCGAAAGGCAGTAGTTAAAGAGATAATAAAGGCGAAGCAGGCAATGGAACTAGAAATGGTGATAATGACAATGTCAACGAGACTGAACAATCACAATCACAGTCACAGTTTTTTTGATGCTGTCAAGCGCAGCAAAAGCAGTTGCAGTAGAGCAGGGGGAGATATGAAATTAAAGAGGCTTGTGAATGAACCCCACAAGAAACAATAAAATAAAGGTAAAAACAATAAAAACAATAAATTAGAGAAAGAGCGAGAGAGAGAAGGCAAGTGAGAGCGGGTGAGAGAGAGTGTGAGAGCAAATAAATGAAAGAGGAAGGGAAGATCTGGAGAGATGTAAACATGAGAATGACTAGAAGAGGAAGCAGAATAAGGACTAAAACCACCGCCGCTGAGAATTTCTGCTATCATATCAATTAGGACATGGCAGGGGCGTCATGTCGCGCAGAACAGCTGTACGGTCTACCGCTATCCCTCGATGTCCAACCAGGGCACACTTCAAAGTTCGAGCCAGCGGCCACAACCCAGACAACCTTGCGTGGAACCGATGTCGATCGACACACGCACCTGGGCCTGTCAAGTCTATCGCTTGTCTTGCCTCGGGCTACTCGGCGGATAGGTGAGGTACGGTAGTGATATAACTTTGTAACCTCTGATTTTTTTTACCCTAAGAGCTACCGAAATCTTAACCTTGTTACCCAGACTTACTCCACATAGGGTATGGTAAGCAAGCAGGGAGAAAGAAGCCTGAGAGTTCTATGTATGTAAGGAGGAGAATGAGGAGGAGCATCAATGCTACTCGCCGTAAATTATACGCCACTGTCACTATTCAACTGTGTATTGTATAAAGCACGGAGATGTCAAAAATAGAGGCAAAAGCCTGCCTGACGCAAAGGTTGGGATGTTCAATCGTGCAGTAGGTGAATCGTACAACTTTCTTCTTCGTCTTCTCTGCACGGCAAAAGAAAAAAAACATCTAGATCCCAGCACCCCACACATACTCAAGTGCGGAGCGAGATTGAAAAGGTTAAAAAAAGTAAAAAAGGGGAAAAAGAGACAGAGTGTGAGAGAGAAAGAGCCATGACCAAAAGAGAAAAAGGAAGGAAAATCCTTCCAAAACCAGAGCATGAAAAGAAAGAAAAAAATGGATACAAAAGTATAGAAGAAACCAAAAAAGTACAAGGAATGCAAAGTAGAAAAATTAAAGACTGGTATGAGAATGTCCTGGGTTCGTATGCGGTACTAAAGCACTCGAGTATGGTATTTGAATCAAAAAAGTCCTCTTCCACGCTCCACACCGCCCCCAGCCCAGCCGGAGAGAAAAGTATCATATCAATAAAGCCAAGCAAAGCCAAGCAAAACTATGGAAAAACAGTATATCGCACTCCTCATCCGTGCCGGCTGCAGCTCCTCCTCCTGCAGCTCTTCTTTTCCACCCTCATCCCGGTCTCTAGTCCAGTAGGCGAAGCCATCTCGGTCGTACCCTAGATGTAACTCCCTTCCTACCCCCCCCACCTAGGTGGTTTGGTCGTCACGAATACGGCCATCTAACCCACATGAAACGTGTGGGGACTGGTAGCTGGATTCCGCCACAACCACTCCTACCTACCACAACAACCAAAAACAGTCGATCGGCTTTCCTCAAGATGGATGTGATTCCTGGATATGATGTCGACCCAAGACTTTAATGTCAATAAAAAATAAAAAAGGTGAGAGCATCACTACAACCATTTCTGTGCAAGTACAGTACTGTACTGTACTCGAGTACTGTACAATATACTATAAGCGCAACCATTATTGTAACCCCCGGCGCCATCTGGGACATGGAACTTGGGTCGGAAGGGGAAAAATAACCCTAGGTGAAGGGAAGGGAGAGGAAGGGAGAGGGGGGGGGAAACAAAAACAAGAGTAGACACCTGTGAAGAGAAAATGGCCAAAAGGGAGTCCGGAGAAAAAAAATTAAAAGAGAATAGGATGAGGAATGGCGGGAAAAAAATAAAATAAAAAAATCTACTTGACAGGCAGGCGATTTTGAGGCGGAGGCCGGGCATCACTTGCTTAGTGTATTTTTTTTTAGTTTTTTTTTAGTTTTTTTTACGAGTACTGGTACTGTACAAGTTGCAAGTGCAGAGTCGAACGTCCTCAGCTACACTGGTGACAGCATCTGCATCATGAACTACTTCCTCCCAATCACTTTGGGAACTCAGCTCTAAGCTGTGAGTACTTGTGCCATGCCAGACGTACGGTATTTCATTTGGGTTCCAGTAATTTCAGGATTTGGATACCGGTACCGCACAACCAGTCCAAATAGGAAGAAGTGAACTCAGACTCTTTACCCGTATGCTTCCTCCTTTTTTTCCCCATCCAGCTATTCTCCCTTGCTCGTGTCTTGCAAGGGGTGAATTGGCTAGATAGCAGGAGGGAGAAGAATGTATGGCGCGCTTTCCCCATACGCACGTTATTGCCGACAGGGACTTTTACTAATGTAGGATCAACTTGTCTAGTAATTTGACTAGTTTTTTTCTTCGAACATGAACCACGTGTGGAAAAGGAAGGAGGCAGTATCGATTTCTGACTGCCACTTACACTTTCGAGATTTGACATGGCTATCAGGTACAGAAACTAGCAGGGAGGAGGAGGCTATTCAATCCGACAATCACGCACATAACCGGGCAACAGGGCCTGGGGGGGGGTAGGGGTACTGAACCATACTGTACTCGAGTGTGGGAAGGGATACCAGATGATGTCGGCTGAAGGAGGGTAGCGAACCGAAAGAATTCTGACAAGGATTGCGAGGCGGGACAGGGATATAGAGACATGGTTGGCACTGGCAATCTTCCAAGCAACTATGCCAGGGCACCCCATCCACTACCGGGGGAAAGCTGAGGTCGATCGATTTCTGGACAGGTACTCTACTGTACGAGTACTGTACAAGTACTGTAGTACAAGTACTGTACGGCACAGGTGATGATATTTTTGTGGTTCTAGTGAACAGGATCCAAAAAAAAAAAAAAAAACCCTTTCACTTTCACCCTACTTATATTTCCTGCCCGCCTGAGTCACCGAATAAACGATGCGCAGCTTCTATTTGGCATATCTCTCTGGTGGTGCATTGTCCTGGAATGGAGGAAAGGGAAAAAAGGAAGCAAAAAATATGCAGACTGACTGCCGCGACCCTCTCGAAATAAGGGTTATCATGCAGGCGAAAGTCATAATAGTCTGAGGCATCTTTGTCAGGGCTTCGACTGTCATGATCCCTGTAATTCTAAAATGTCAGTCAGGCCCATGGGTTCGCAAAGAGAGAACCGAAAGGAGACGAACCTGGCCCACCTCCCCCCACCTTGTCTGTGGCTGCGCGCACGAACTATCATTTGACCCTGACTGCTGGTAAAAGGACAAGTACTTGTACTCTAGTACCGGTACTAGTACAAGTACAAGCACTGTATGAGTAGGCTAGGGTTGGTTGTCTCTCGCTGCCGTTAACCGCATTTGACGTCCATCAGATTCCAGCATCCCAGCATGATCGATAGACATCAAGTTGTGCTCGTAAACCCTGAGCTCGAGATCTATTGGCGCTAATAATAGCCGCTGTCCTCCTTGAGCTTTCGATTACTCATTGTTCGAGTAGTATGCGGAGAGAATGTTTCTTGTACCTTCGAGAAATCCGATGACTTCGGCATAAGACCTTTCCCTCCCCGCTAGCTAGGTAGTTACTGGCACACTCATTCCCTTTGGCTGCAGCTGCAGTCTGATATCCGATGTGTTGTCAGCTGGCGACGTCACGAAAATTTCAGGTGCTCGGGTATACGACACTCGCAGCAAGACCTCAGATGTGGAGATGGGTGCCTGCCTACGAGTACGTACCGGGACGTGAGAGACGTGCATAACAGCAGCACTCTGCGCCTTCGGCAGGTGTATGGTTACCAGGGTTACCGTATCGTGCTGCGGTAGATGAATGATAAATGCACTGTATTATACCATAGTACAAGCATCACGGGATGACCTTATTTTTGTTGTCTTGGCAGTATCATAGACTTCAATATTCCCCACCCCCACCTCACCGTCAGAGTGGCTCAAGGCTTTGCCGTTCGTGAATTGCGAGACGGTGCTTGAAACTTCCAATTGCCTCGGGTAAGACAGTGAAATGAACGGGCGGGGTTCTGGTCCCAGTAATGCCCGGATTACATGGGTACGGCGCCTGACGTGTTTGAACCTGATAAAAAGAGTGCAAAAGTGGAAAGGAAAAAAAAAAAAGAAAAGGAGAGAAAATGGGACGTATGCGCCAAATATCGTACCAGGGAATCCAGGCACGGGTATGTTACCTACCGAAAACCGAAACTAACCCACTGTCATCAATGTGATCGGTTGCGGGAATGCCATTGTAAGCGGGGCCGCGGCGAGACCAGCCGAATAAGCCGCAATTTTTGCTTTTTCCCCCTGGGAACCCACTTCAGAAAAGCGCCGTTTCATGAAAAGCAAGCTTCGGTTATCATAGACTTTTTTCTCCTACTTTTAGAGCAAGGGGTAGGTCAAACAAGTTGAGCCCTGAAGGCTCACATGTTGTCAATATATTGCCCATTGGGGATGTTCGTTCCGTTGAAAGTATTGGTGTTTTTTTCATGAGTTGGCCAAAAAAGATTCTTGGAATACCCACGGGGTAAAAGGATCGCAGCCGACTGATTTGCCTGCTTGTGATAATCTAATCTCCGGAAAGTCCTTCTCGTCGATCCATATTGGCTTAGCGGGGTAGAAATGATGCCAATGGAAGACTTGTACGGTACCTCGGGGGGTACCCCCCCCACTCGCCGTAGCATGTTAGGATTAGTGGAATAAAGTGGTGTTTTCTGTTACCAATTGGGTGCAGCTTGGTTTCTTTATTAGGTTGCTGGATGACTGTTAGGTTGGAATTTTTCACTTTTCGCTTTAGCTGATATGCTTTGTCTGGTTGCTACTTGTATAGTCGTGTCCAGAGAGACTTTGCACTCCAATCAATTCAACTAGGTGAACATTATTGAACCTAATATCCGAATAAATAGACTCAATTAAAAGATATAGTGAAATGTAAGCTGTAAAGATTATCTTTATAAATTATTATAAAATTTTATGATCAGATCCAAGTTACAGACCTTATGTTTAATGATTGACAAAAATGTAATTGGTCAAAATAAACTTCATATAATATTTTTTATCTTTATAACATAAAGTAAAAATAATTTGATATTAAATATGTACAATATCTAGATAGCTGGTAATTAAAACATACTATATTTGTAATTGTCTTATTGGAAATTAGTTGCAGAATTGAGATTTCTTAAGAGTAATATTTGAATTAAAAAAGTAATACTTATATTTTCTTAACTTTTAAGTGAGAATATCCATTAATCAAGGGTGAAAAATAAGAAAGAAATAACTTTTAATAATATGTGGAAGTATTGAACAAAATTTAATAGTGTAAAAAAATTGTAAGTGGTTTCTGTTCCTTGTAGGAAAATATGGTTAAGATTTCATCAATATTGAGATATTTTAGGCCCTGTTTGGCATGTCCCATTTGAGAAAAACCATGGTATTTCTGAAAATAAATGCGTTTGGCAGTCCATGTATTTTTAATATGTTTTTTTTTCCTTTTAGGGCAGCTTTATCAGATTGTTATATAGTAATCAGATATCAGGATCAGTTTTAAGAGAGAAGAAGAAAATTCTCACAAAGTCAAGCTTCAGTTACACAACCCCCACCTTTTCATCTATTCAGCCAATTAACCACTCCATAACTCATCTTCTTTTTCTCTTTTCCCCAGTTTCCAGTACCAGTATTTATCTACCTTAAAGCTCCTAAGAGATGAGAGACTTTACAGTAAGCTAATACAACAGTGATCTAGGCTATTCTGGTTTGGAAGATGGGAAAAAGTGTTTGGATTTTATCAACTGAGACCTTTCTTATTGAAGCTCTAGTTAAGAATGTTCGACAAGGAAATTGTATAGAGAGTGGATTCAAAAAGCATGTTTGGTTAGAGGTTGTTACAGAGGTGAATAGTACCTTCAAGGATGGTCTTTTTCATTGAAAGAATTGTAAATATTTTGCTGGTTGGAATCTGTATTCGGGCTTGATAGATAAAATAGATTGTTTGCTATTACAGTAGGAAATATATGACTTACACTGAGCAAGTCAAGATAATTGCTGATATGAAATCATTTTTTACAAAAGTCTTATTACCAATATCTACTATTTTAACTAGTATCTATCCTCTATATTGTCATTCATTCTATTATATTTTATAACTTTTATAACATATTCTTCATTTTGTTTCATTTTAACCAAAATCCTGCCTGCATATTACAAAATATCACATTATAAAAAAAACATGGTATTTGTAGCATGCTGAACACCCTACTAATTCATTTTAAAAAAATCCTGAAAAAAGCTCCATAAAAGTGAAAATACCATGATATTTTTAGTGTGCTGAACAGGACCTTAATTAGAGTAAAATACAGTCTTACAATAAATTTTCTAAAATAATAGTATTAAGATAACTTTCATCTTACTATAGATTAAACCAGTTAGGTAATTTTCTTTTAGAAAGATGATTGGGTAAACCATAATGATATAATGATAACTTTAATAACATTTTTTATTAAAGAAATAAAGTTTCTTGACTGCAGTTTTTAAAGATATAGCTATACTAAACTATCTTAAAAATTTAATGATTACTGTAGGATTTCTAAAATGTATTACTTTAAATAAGAATAACTTTAGAAGTATTAAAATCTTTTATGTTGAACATGTTATTTTTTGAATTTAATTAATATGAATAAGTATACAGGTTATTTAATCGGATGGTAAAGGTCTTTAATACTATAGTGAGTTATATTTTATTC